AAATAAAATTTAAGGTTAATCAAATACTTTTTAAGCATTCTCCATTCTCACCCATAAAACAAGATAATAAGTACCTTACATGTTGCATGGCAATATTCTTTAGTTTGTAAAGTATTTCTGTACACTAATCCTGATATTACACAGCAGGAGACTTAGACTGCACACGAACGACACAAATTCCCAGAACTGTCTTTCTCTGTGACCATGATTGGCCAAGTTTTCTTAAACATGTAGCCTGTAAGTTCAGAGCCCAAAGGCACGGAGGCTCAGTTGGGAAGTGGGGTGTTAGGAAGGCTGAAGGAATTCCAGAGATGAGCCTTCACTTGGTGATAATCTCAGCTACAGGGAAAGTCTTCGATAAAGTTTCATCACTTAGTGGCTGTGCAAATCCTGCACCCTCAGTCAGCCTACCTGAAGCTCTTAGGTGTACAGTGACTGAGCTAAGTGCCGTCTGTAACTTCACTTGTGTTTACAATAAATAGGATAAAACTAGAGTTAGGATTTTCTCAGAACACCTTAGGGATTGTGACAAATACTTGATCTAACAGGGTCCCATCCTAGAAGTCATGGTACCCTTGTAGAATGATATGGCCAACAGTGAGTTGATTCCAGATACTTCATTACTTCTTTCCACACTAAATTTCATTACTGAAAGCTAAAATTGTCCCTACAAACAGGGATTCACAAATAATCAACTATCCTGAACAAAAAATGAAAGTGACTACCCTAGACAGTCCAACAGTGAGCAACTGTTTTCTTCTCAAGGCTGAGACCCTAAAATATAATCCCTTGATATAAAGAACATTACCCTTGACACCTCTCATCAATACCTTATATTAAAAATGAGATTTTAACTGGGAATATATTAGAAACCTTGAATTCCCTCTGAAGGTCAGCTGATACCTGATAAAGCAATACATAAACACTTTGACTTACTGTACAAGAGGCTGGCTTGAAGACTAAAAATATACAGGATTATGATTAAACTAAAATGAATAAAAAGAGAATGGACTTACCTGTTCGTTTCTTTCAAACCAATGTATGCTTGGGCTATTTCACCTTTATCTTTCATTTTTTGTACATCTTCCAAAAGTATTGTGGAATCTGTCATTGTGTTCTGAAGAGGAAAATGACACATTTCCACATTAACAGTCAATTCAAAAACTCTGGACCACAGACAACATTTTTCTTTCCTCCAGAACAGGGGGTTTATGTGTTCTACCACACTTCTGTCCCATCAGAGCACCAGCCCAGCCCTGTGCAACTACAGGGGAGCGTCGGGCATAGGGAGTTAAGAGAAAGAGACATCTTCAGTCCCTCTCTTGAAAATCCTTACTGCTCCACTACAAGGGTGGTGAGAGTCTAGAGTACCACTGTCCTGTAAATAAAATCACTGATGGGCAGTGTGTGTTTTACATAATGTGAAATGGAACATATATATATATATATATATTCCATTAAGTAGCTTCTTGGTGTCCTTGCCTGATAATTGCTCTAATGCTATGTTATAATATATATACTTCAAAGGGTGTATATATATTTTTATATATGTATATGTACTTTATATATAAAACTATAGATATATTTCCAAGTATGCATAAAGCATTATAACAATAACCAGGTAAAAACACCAAGCAACTACTGAATGAACAGAGAACAAAAGCTATTCTTTCTACTACTTCCCATCTAGTTATAATAAAACAAATGCCCCAGTAAAACACTGTAAAGTTTGACATAAAGCTCATTTTTTCCATTAAAAACTCAGTACAAAAAAGGTAGATGATATGCTTTAGCAAAATTAGAAGTTTTTTCTCACACATTTAGATATATATAAACGGGAAGGATTTAGCTCCTTGTAAATATCTACCATCTGCTGTTATTCAGTCCTTTCTCCCCCTGTTACATTATAGCATGGTACATAAGCTTCTGGCAGGTCAGCATTACTAATGATTTTGTATAAAAAGCACTTCTCTGCTAACATTTTTACTTCCTTTTTAATTTTTCCTTTTTGGTCTAATCTGTCTGACAACCAATGTAATTTCCAAATCTTGCTTCTACTCAGCTACTCTCTGTCTCTCCTAAACCAGGGCAAGAACAGACTAAGAACTACTGCTCCATAGCCTCTAGAGAATAATACATTTTAGAACCCAAGGGCCCATTCTATTTGTCTCAATAGTATATGTCTGATCTGTTAGTCAATGTTTGCTCCAAAGGCAGGTCTCACAATGAAGTGGACTTAATAAAATACACTTTAAAAAACATGATCTTAGAGACCAGTTCTGAGATAAGTTCAAGACCAGTTCTTGATAAGAAACATACTTAAAAAAAAATCCCACTTTTCTCCTTGTGAGCTTATAAATGCATCCTCAGAGAAGACGAAATATAAGCTGATAAGAGCTATTAACAAGAGCTTATATTTTACTGAATTTAAAAAATTTTTCCCATAAACACCACATGGAGCATTTCTTTAGCTATGATTTCTATATATTTTAGTCTATCTTTCATAGAAAATTTTTTTCTCTTTCCCTGAAAGACAGAAAATTTTTCTATTCTACAAAGGGCCATACTCAGATTTTTTTTTTCATACTCAGATTTTTAACTTTTAAGTAGTAACTCTCAAAGACCCAACCCCTATATTACATAATGCTGTATGTATTCTCTGATATCTGAAGACCTACATGATGTACTTTTGAACTTGTAGTAAATTAGGTAACTTGATCCTATTAACTAATCTAAAGGAAAGATGAGCTTCTTGATATGCTGCTTTCCTGACAATAAGCAGCCAGTCCTTCCCTCATCTGGCCTACCTTAGCTAAGAAGTGGTGGTTGGGCATGGGATCAGACTTGGACCACCAGCGTTAGGAAATTCCTAACTCACTGCTCAAAGTTTGTCTCCCCCAAGCCAGTGACCAGAAGTGTAGAAAGGGTTGTACCATGTAGGAAAATCCTACCCTTCCCAGGAAGGGTGTGCTCTACTCCTGAGGCTCCTTCTCGCCGTTGGCCAACAAATCCACAGCTGCTAGACAAGAGTGTGGGACAGCCTTGCTTCTGGGTGTGCTCCAAGTTAAGGGACTCCCATCCTGGGCCCCCATGCTTGTGGATGGCCTACCATAACTACTATAGTGGGTCAGAGAACTGACTCTGAATTAGAAGTCATGGAGACCTCCCTGTGATCCAGACTGGAGCCTGCTACATCCATTATTTTTCCACTGACAAAGAGAGGGCTCAAATAGGAAACTATTTTGTAAATATCAAAATAGACTTGGTGGCTAGAAGCATCGACTATATATATTGGGGGAATACTTATAAACTAAAATTTAGGATTAAACAGAAGTATTTACTAAAATTTTTTTAAAAATTTATAATTACCTTGTCATCCTGAAAATCACAAGTCAGCAAGCACAAAAAATAGAGAAAACAATAAACCCTTAGTTCCACAAATAAATCCCATCAATGAGCCCCATCATAACAGAGAAAAGCTAACTGTAAAAACCCCAAAATTAGTATTCATAGAACCAACATAAGGTGAACATTAATATATATATTTGTGTGATAATTCTTAATTTTCAGGAACAAGTGCTTGAAATTCTTTTCGAGTTGTTTTGGTTTTTCTAATTTGTGAGTATGTGAGAAAATGACCCTCCTGTTAATGTATATGGGTGAAATTCTTATCCTAGGTCTGTGAGAGTTACAGAAAAGCTCTGATAGGATGTCATCTGTCCAAGTGACACCTTCCAGAATACTCACAGAGGCAGAGCAGATGAACTAGATTGGCTGGGCTGGATTATCACCTACCTCCCTGGGTGTCACTCACTATTGCCCTGCAAAGAAGTTGTGAAATGATGAGTCTCCTGGACTGGAAACTGAGTGGGACAGACAGCCATGTGTTTGAAAGGTCTCAATCAGTGTCATAGGCATTTTTCTTAGCAAAGAGCAAGCTGCTGCCATGTGTAGGCTGAGAGTTGGAGAGCAGGGGCGTTGGTGAGACAGGACCAGCCCATTTTAGTGGCTAGAGAGCAGCTGTGAGCTGGGTGATACCATGCTGAGAGCATGTGATACCAGAACTATGTGCTCTTTTAGCTGGATTGTTTTTATGCCCCTTGGTTCATTTTTCTTTTCTTTTCCCTTAACTTTAACTCAAGTTTCCTGTGAGAATACCACTTTGTCACAATGGAACCAGAGAAAAGAATCATAATTTTGGACTCTGCTCCAGCCAGTATGCAGAGAGAGTCTTCTATCTCAAGGCCTAACCACAGCAGTAGTCATGGGAACCAGAGACAGCCTTGGGGAAGGAGAGACGTATAGGGCCAGGCCAAAGGAGAGATTCCCATTCCAGAATCTTCTCATTTCAGACTGAATGGGTTTGTGATTTGTTTTAGAATAAGAAAGCCCATTTCTTTATATAACTCTACTTATTCCTGGGATTTTTCTCCCCTCCCAAGATTAGTCGCCAATATCTTATTTTCACAGAATTTGGTATTTTCTGGATCAGTGTTGATCTCAGATATGAGTTGCCGTTCTCAAATCCAAATGTTACGTGCCAGTTTCAGTACTTTAACCACATGCAGAACTACTATATCTAAGAGAAGTACTCTCAGATCTTCCAGTTCATTAGATATCATAGTCATTTTTTATATGGTATGTCATGCAGCTGGAATAATTGATTGTCTAATTCTTGATAACACTTTGTTTGCTGCATGAACATGGGCAGGGACACAGGCCAGGTTTTAAAATGATTACCCAGAGTCCCTCTGATGGCAAATGACAAAAAGGCCCATTTTTTACCAACACATGACAGCATCAGGTCCCAAATAACCTGAGGGCAGGAAGGACTTTGGAGGGCCATCTCTACCCTCTGGCATGGGTCCTTTCTATTGAATCACCACACATAGCCCCTCCCCAGTTGGGACAGCTCCCCCATTAGAGAGAACTCCCTGAAGTGAGCAGAAATCATCTCCATGGAACTTCTACTCGCTGATCTCATTTCTAACCCTTTTAAGTGTTCTCTTTACAGTTAAATGGGCTATTACCAACAAATAATTTTAAAGTCATATTTAATGCTTTCCCACAGCAAGAGGATTTTTGTACTCAACAGAATTTTACTTTTTTTTTTTAAGTTTATTTATTTGATTTATTCATTTAAGTAATCTACACACCCAACGTGGGGCTTGAACTCACGAACCCAAGATCAAGAATCACATGCTCTTCTGACTGAGCCGGCCAGGAGCCCTGAATTTTACTTTTGATGAAAATTTATCATGACCAGATTACTACTTAAAGTTTAATTTTAAAAGCTCTTTGCTCATGAGTGAGAAATGACACTCAGAAGATCATTTGGGATTTCATTTATTTTTTGCTCACTTTAATTGGCACTTGAGACAGTTTTAAAGCAACGTTGAGATTTTTTTAAAAAATGATAATATCCTTTGGACTAAATGCTAATTAGACTAAAAATGCTCATGTTTGCTTCATTATAAATTGCAGGGAAAGGATAGAAAGAAAGAGTCCAGTCCCCAGACACCCACTTCAGTCACTTGCTCGTGCTTACCTTAGGTTGGATGGCCTCCTTCTGGCTCACCAGCTGAGACCTCAAGATGAGGACTTCCTCCTTACGGACATCAAGCTCCTCACTCACAGAGGTCAGCTGCTCCATGAGGACACGATAGGCTGGTGCACCTGGAGCCGTCACCTCTGGGGCACTTTTCTCACTAAGGGCCTTGCGTAGCTCATTTAGCTCATTTTTCAGTTTTTTGTTTTCTGATTCCAGCTCCTGACGCTGTATGAAGAGACAAAGAATAGTTCACTGCTGTTATCCTCAACTTTACACTGGAATACTCATGTTCCCCCAAGATGGTAGAGTTCTTCTGGAAAAGATTGTCAGAGCTACCCTAGTGAACAGCTTTCCAGGCTGTACTGGGAACTCTGTTCCACAATTAAGAAAGCTGACATCAAGGTGAACGGTAGTTTGCTTCATCAACCCAAATTCCAGAGTCACATTTATTCTGGGCCTGCCTAGGGTGAGTTCATAGGCCTGGAGAGATTGCTGAGTCCCAAGGGATGAGTTTAGCCTAGTCCTCAGAAGCCCAGGTTTTGTTTGCAGGTAAATACAGGGGCAAGTATGAGGGTTCAGCTGGTCAGGTGATTTCCAGTGAATGGTTCAGATGAGCAGAACCCTGAAATCTTGAGTAGCATCCTCTTACTTCCTTTGTAAAACAGAATGGAAAGAACATTGAAATCTTAGGCTTTTAACTTTGAATTAAAAAATTACCATATCATTTAAACTAATAAAATTCCATTTAGTGTTTTGATGACGACAAACAGTGTATTTTCCAAATTACTTTGACATGTGTATGACAGGCTTGTGAAGTTGCTGGCAGAAGTCTTGGGAGGTGGGAGGAAAGGATGGGCTCCTTGTGCCATCCAGATGGCCATACTCATCTTTTACCCCTTCCACACTTTCACATACTACCAGCCATCCTCCTGTCACTAGTTAGCACTGCCCTCTGCATACTCTGCTCAAACAGTGGCAATGGGAGAGTTCTGACACGAAAATACAGATGTCTTGGGAAACTGGCTGAGAAACAGTAAAGCACCATGCTGCCTTGTTTTTAGCACATTACACAGGCCTTATGAGAGTGGAAGTGAGATATTTCTATGTATAAAAGATAAAATATTTTATTGTTTCTTCCAGAGCAGCCACCTTGGGTTTAGAACACCATAGGACCTCTTAACAGTTTATAGCAGAACTATTTATAGTCTTTTTTTTTTTCTAGTATAAGAATATATAACCCTTTCTTCCATGAATTAATCTATTCTTATGTGAAAATGAATGATCCTTCCTATCCCCAGTCTCCCACCAACTAGTAATCGGATTCGTATTGCTCATTTCTGCAACAGAAAACATGAATGTCTTCACTTGGACACTAAGCTCTGATGCAGTGTTTCCCAAACTTTAAAGTGCATCAGAATCACCTGGCGGGCAGATTGCGTGGCCCAACCCCCAGAGTTTCTGATTCAAAAGGCCTGGTATGAGGCCTACAAATGTGCATTTCCAATAAGTTACCAGGTGATGCTGATGCTGCTGGCCCAGGGACCACATTTTGAGAAATACTGAGCTAGTACTCGGCAACTTTGTGATTTGAGCTTCTTTTTTTTCCCCTTTTTATCTGGGCTTCATTTTTAACATACTACAAAGAATGTCTTTATCTGTCCATTTTTGTGTGAGGCAGGCAGATGGAAAAGAGCTGGAGATGACAGTCCTACTCCCATTCTGTTGGCCTGTGCCATCCCATCCCATCTGATGCTTGTCTTGTATGACCCATGGCATGAGTTGGTCCTCTAGACAAAGGGTACTAAAGGAAACAGAGAGTCAGGATAATAGAGATGACTCTTTGCTGCCACTCTTTTCTTTTAGTGCAAACATAAATACTACACAAGTAGTACTTTCATTGAAGGGGCAATAGATTTATTCATGTTATAATTCAGAAAGGGTAAAAGGGCTCTTTAGAGTATTTTCAAATAGTGCCTTTTTTTTTTTTTGGTAAAAATAAATTTTCAAACAAATGATCATAGGAACCTAGGGTGTTTAGAAAGTTTCCTTCTGTGTGGAGACCTAGATTCAAGATCAGACTCTACCACCTGATAGTAAATCTCTTAACTGTTCTAAGCCTCAGTTTAATAATCTTTAAAGAGGAAATAACTTATCTCAGAAGTTGTGACAATGACTAAATAAGATAAGGTGTAAGAAAAACTTTCCAAACTGTAAAGTAAATACAAGGTATTATTAGTCAAGTGTTTATCAAATGTCAGTGGAAGAGTTCTAACTATCTTCAAGGGAAGGGGTTGATAAAGGAACTGTGGGTTGGGCAGGGTGGAGGACAGGCATTCTCTATACCAATGCCACACAGCCTCAAAAGGAAGCAGTAGGGGCGCCTGGGTGGCTCAGTTGGTTAAGTGACTGCCTTCGGCTCAGGTTATGATGCTAGGGTCATGGGATCGAGACCCACATCAGGCTCCCTGCTCTGCGGGGGAGCCTGCTTCTCCTTCTCCCTCTGCTGCTCCCCCTGCTTGTACACTCTCTCTCTGTCAAATAAATAAAATCCTTATAAATAAATAAGAGGAAGCAGTAATCAGCAGTTCTGGACCATGGGAAGTGGCAAATCCACAGAGGACAGGGTCCTATTAATGTAAGTTATGTTCCACATCACGCTATTAGAAAATAATATATCAGAACTAGACTTGAAGTATTAGTACTGAAAAAAAAATAATACAGAAATCCTCATGACAGTTTAGGGAGACCCTAGGAATTCTCAAATACACATAAAGGCTTTAAAATAATGAGTTTCCTTATGCTATGTTGTGGCTTTTCTAATTCTTAGCTTTGGTTATAATCATAAACCTCACTATAGTTTTCTAGCTATTCTATACTATAGTTTGCAAAAGGAGAAAACAGTAAAAAATAAACACAAGCAGAAAATGTCTGAGAAAGATAAATTTAAGACTAATAATTTAATTAATAACCTAGAAAACTTTTAAAGCTGGGGGTGCCTTGATAGCTGATAGCCTGACAGCTCAAACTTCACACGGCTCAAATGGCTCTGATTCTGGAAAGCAAAGAAAGGAGCCTAGTGAAGAACAACCTACCCTGATTTTATTTTTATTTATATTTTTATTTTTTAAAGTAAACTCTATGCCTGCCGTGGGGCTTGAACTTATGACCCTAAGATCAAGAATCACATGCTTTACCAACTGAGCCAGCCAGGCGCCCACAACCTACTCTGTATCAAGGAATGGGCTCTTGTTTGTTTTATACCTCAGCTCTTGGGTTACCCAAGATGCTTTGTATTTCGGGAACTCCTGTTCCTTCCTAATCAGAGCCCTTCCCATGTTCAACTGCTCTGGGACCACAGTACCTGCTAGATAGACATTGCCTTCAACCATTAAGGAGACAATTCTCCACCTTCATCTTCCTCCTCCCAACAGTTTCTAAAAAATAAGTTAGAATACATTTCTATTCTAATACCTAGCAAACTAATACCTAGCTATCCTTCTCTATAAGTACATCATCGTTTCAGTGGGGTTTGGTAGTTAGAGCACAGACTTTGGAGCCAAAGATACGTATATTCAAATCCTGTTCCTGTCATTTTCTAATGGGGTGATCTTAGGAAGTTACTCATATCTCTTAACCTCAATTTCCTTATCTGTAAAATGGGAACTAAAATACTTACTTGCAGGATTATTGTAATAATTTCAGCTAATATGTAAAGTACAGGCATTTAAAAATGATGAGGATAATGATAGCAGCCAACATTTGCTGGGTACTTACTACGTGCTGGGCACTATTCTAAGCAGTTTACATGGATCACTTTATATAATCCTCACAACGGTCTGATAAGATAAATAGTATCATCTTCCCCATTTTATAGATGAGAAAACTGGGGCACAGAAAAGATACATAACTTGCACACAGCCATATGGTGGCAGATCTAGCATTTGAATCCAGGCAGTCTGGTGCTAGGATCAATGTCCTTTACTACCTTCTATCGCCTCAAATGGCAGCTATTACTCCTGTTTCTGCTTAGACTGAACTCTAGCTTATATGAAATAGAATCTACAAAAAGAAACAACATGAGGCTAGAAGTAATGCCTGAATAAGGGTGAAGCTAGAACCTCGGGTACCCTTAAGGATGTTCTCTGAGAAAAAGAGAAACTCTGAGCAGGTTGCTTGCCAAAACAAGATATTCAAAGCCTTGGGCAGAAACTTCCCATTACCTTGAGTGACTCATATTCCAGTTCTGCACCTCTAATTTGTGGTCTTTCTTCTTCCTAGGGAAAATGTAAAGTTAAAAACTTTATAAATAAGTAGTTATACTTTAATTGTCACATTTTTACTCAGAATATTTCCCCGCTCTGCAGAAAATAGTGGGGAGAGTTTAGCCCTCACTACGTGAACCAAATGCTGCTCGGATAAAGTACTTCTGGGCTGAGTTTCCATTAAAGAAGAGACTGCAGAACTGCACCTAAGTCCCAGGCTCAGTGCTCAGTTTGCGCATGGCCCTGGGGTGCGGGAGCACTGCGTACCTTTGCCTTGCTGCGGAGCATCTGCTCCTCCTTGCGGTCCAGCTCATCCTGCATCACCTGCTTCTCCTGCTCCAGCTCTGTGACCCGCTTCTGGAGCTTGAGGAACAATGACATGTCCAGAGGCACCTTCTTCTCACTTGGCTCCTAAACCCCAGAAATCATAAGATGGTCAAGATGATCCAGAAGATGTAAAGCCAATGCAGAAATAATGAGCAGTCCAATAGAGAAACAGGCAAGCTTACAGAAGAAATATAAATGGCCAAAGAACGGCATGCCCACCCCAGCTAATGAGTAGAGACGTGCAAATTAAACAACAGTGAGGCACTACTTCTTCCCTGTTAGATTGGCAAAGACTGGAAAGATCAATAATGCCATGTATTAGTAACAGCATCTTATATAATACTGGTGGAAGTATAAGTAGGCCTTTTAAAAGGGCAAGTTAGCTGTATTTATTAAAATTTAAATGTGTATACCCTTTAACCTAACAATATACGTTTAAGAATCATCCTACAAAAATTCTTACACAAGTACACAAGAATATATGGAAAAAGATGTTCACTGCAGCATTTTTTGTAACTGTAAAAAACTGGAAAAAAACCCAAATGTTAGTCAATAGAAGAGTTGCTTATAGTATAATCAAACTAAAATATTTCATAGCTGTTAAAAAAATGAAATAGATATACATGAGTGGATAAATATGTCCTAGATAAAAGTATTTTTTTTTTAAAGATTTTATTTATTTATTTATTTGAAAGAGAGAGAGAGACAGCGAGAGAGGGAACACAAGCAGGGGGAGTGGGAGAGGGAGAAGCAGGCTTCGCGCCCAGCAGGGAGCCGATGCGGGGCTAGATCCCAGGACCCTGAGATCATGACCTGAAGGCAGACGCTTAACGACTGAGCCACCCAGGCACCCCTAGATAAAAGTATTAAGTGAAATAAACAAGCTGCAAGGCAGTATTTATATTACAATCTTATTTTTGTTAAAAAATCAAATGCACATGACTTTTATTTTTAATTTTTTTAAAATGATTTTTATTTA